CCTGCTGACCTTTCCCAAGGACTGATGGGTCACCTGTTTACTGCATCTAGCCCTGGCAAAAACATTAGTCACTAATGAAAAAATTGAAGCAGGAAACTATTTGACATGGTAGTGGGCCATAAGCAGTTCATAGTCATATTTTCAGATCCTATTTCAATTTAGTGTCTATTTCACAGTATTAAATGTATGCTATTAGGGTAGGAGCAGTTGCAGTTTAACATAAAGTGCAGTAGGTGTTAGGCACAGTCTGATACAGCATCTTTGTTGCTATGTTCAGCATTAAAGGTGATCTATCTGAGCAGATTTTTATCTTGCCAGGATATTGTAAATGAGGGGGAGATTTAATCTTAGAGTTTAGCAGTTCTGGTACTCACCTACATCAGACAGATAGATACAGAAGCCTGAAACAGATAGAGACAGGCTGAAGAGAAGTCAGCACCAGTTTGTACTTGATGAGGAAGAAATAGCTGTCTTAAAATAAGTTTACTTTTTTTAGTACTGAGGAGCTACCAGCTCCTCACCTCTAGCAACTGAACATCCCCTGTGACTTCCAGCAGGTTGATCTTTTCAAGCTGTTTAAAGCGATGCTTGTACTCCAGAGTGTGCACACCATTAATAGCAACTTTGAACTGTTGGGCATCACAGAAAATTATCAACTGAAAACAAGAAGAGGAACAGTCAAGGTAAAGTTCAGATATGAAAAACAAGCTGATGATAAAACTTGGACTCAAGCAAGCCCTGCTTCAGCTCTGAAGAAATCCTTTTATGTGAGAAGCAGAAAAACTGGGACTTCAATAAAATTCCATTAAACTTAGTCCTGAGCTCAGCTTGAATTACTGGCAACTATTTAAAAATAAATCAGGAAGAGATGGTTCTCATTAAATCTTTGTTTCCTGTAGTCCCACCTAATTCTAAAGACTCAAGATATTACAATGTAGCAATGCCAGTTCTGTAAAGCTGAATTAGTGACATGACTTTCAAATCCCACTGCAAACTAATTTTTTTTTGTGCAGAATTACAAGAATAATGCTGCATTTTAGTTCATCTTACCTCAAAGTACATTCCTGGACTGAAAGGGAAATTGGGAACTTCCTTTTCTTCTTCTCCCCAGCTGTCATGGAGGTAAGAGTTTCTCACAAAAATTTTAGTCTTCAGTCGGGGATTCAGGTGTAACGCAATGTCCTTAGAGTCGCTTGACTTCAGGTTTATAGCAAAGCTGGAAGATAATTTTTTAGTTAGTTACACCGAGCCCTTGTAAATCCGAAGCACTAACCCTCGCTGTCTCGTAAGCCTGCAGCGTTCTGGGCACAGGGCTGGGGTCCCCAGCACTCCCCTCAGGCACTTCACACATACTTGCCCTCTTCACACAGCAGCTCCTGCTGGAGGCAGCAAATGGAGGATGGGACCCTGGCAGCCCTGCTCCTTCCTTCCCTGCATGAAGCTGGCTGGAGACAGTTCTCTCAGAAGGGGCTGTGCTGCACACACCAACTCCCTTAACAAAGGTAAGCAAAGGAGAGGGGGAGGCCATGGTTTACTGAAGGGACATGATTATATTCTTTCTGTGGCCAAATTGGTTCAGCTGTGCAGGGAGGGGTTTGAGGATACTCTGGACAGTTAAGAGCAATGGGAGGTGGTGCCCACAGCACATGCTTCCTGACAGGGAACCTCTAGGGAAGGTGGTCAGAGAAGAGGTGCTTCAACCTCTGCCAAAGACACTGCAGAGACTGAAGAAACACCTTACTCCAGCTGACAGATTGTTCCCTCTCCGGGGGGAAGCCTAAAACACTTAACCAGCCAGAGAGCAACTGCCATACAGGAGACTGTATTTCTCACTGAGAACTAGGACCATATACAGCTGTTTCAATTGAGCAAAAGGCCTTAAACAACTTGTGAGCTCCTCCAAAATCTAACTGCTAACAGCCTCTTCGTACATATAAACAGCAGACAGAGCTAATAAGCTTTTCAAAAAAAAAAAAAAAGGTTACTACTTCACTATTAAAGATCTTGTCCAATTTCAAGTCCATTCTAGCTTTATTCATGAGTTTTCTAGACTTTGGCCTCTAGTTTAGTTTAATTTGAGTTTAAAGTGCATTCTGAGGAAGCGGGAGTATAACACGTATACACAAAACAAATAAAGGGCACCCTTCCCAAGCTGCACTAATTGCTTCATTTTTAGGCACATTTCTGCAGAGTCAAAGGCACCCTTCAAACAAAGGGCATGCTGGAGCAGATACATTTTCCTAGCTCCGTCTGGACCGTGTTGTGCTCCCTTCTCCCTCTCCTTTTTGTTTTATTAACACACTGATAAGCTGCTGCCTTGGCAATCTGTCATTCCCCATTTGCCATTAAATGGGTAACTCCTGCTCCCCCACCAGCTTTTATCACTCAGGTGTTGCCAGTTAAGCACCTTTATGCTTGCACCCTCCTGCCCCTAAGGGGGCAGTCCCAGAAGCATCCAGAGGGACCTTGAAACATGCAGGGTTTGAGCACACCAGCACCCAGGTTCTTGGATCTCTTAAGGAAAAAAGCAATCCGTGTATTGCATGTGTATGCTCACATGCCTTGCACCAGGGATATTCCAAACAGCAACATGTAAGCTTGTGAAGGATGAAGGTTTAGTGGGGGAAAAGGAAAGTTAAGTTTTATTTTCACTTTTCTTCTCTGAAGTAGCACCTGAGGTTCCCAAGAAAAATGCATTTCAGTTTCAGATGATTCCAGATGCAAAGCTGCAAGTCAGTAAAGGCAATAGAAAAAGCCTCTTCTCAGAAGTAGCTTAGTTAAAGGCAAGAGTAGGGAAAAAGACAAAAAGAAAGAAAAACAATCCAAAAAATTCACTAACTTACTTACCTATTTGCATTTTTGTTCACTTCTCCTTTAATAGCAACTGTGTGTCCTGGACGAAGTGCAGAATCCAGTCTGCCAACATAAGGAACTCCCTGGAAGTAAAAGCAGGCAAAACTTTGACTGTGGCTTACTTCCGCCCCCGCCTCCGATATACAAGCTGAGCTTTACTCCAGCCTGGTCTATAATCACACACCTGCATCCACAGCTAAAAGAAAAAAAAAAATCAGTCCTACCAGTGCCTTCTTCGATACTAACACTGTGGGATACTAACACTGATATGAACAAAGCAATGGTCACTTTTCTTTGCTACTTCTGTCACTACTAATTGTGAAGGCAGAAAAATTAGAGAGACAGCTGTGTTGCACTGGGGAAAAACCAGCAACAAACGCCATAATCTAGGGTCAGGACCCTCCTAGACACTGCAAAGGCCAGTACATACTCCCAACCCAAATCCTGGCCCTCACCACACCTTTGGCTTCTCCACACACTCTCTCTGCATGCCTAGGGATTCCTGGCTTCTACCCACTCTGCACTTGGAGGGAGGTCCTTTCCCAAACGTGGCTACTAGACGCTGGATTCCGAGCACCTGTACATCCATCTTTTTGCAAAAAGAGGAGCCCTCAGCCTAGGCTCTATGCTAGCTAGGTACAAGTTCTAGTCCTAAGGTGCACTGCTGGCATCCAGCCATCAGAAGTGTATATGTTCTATAGACACAGATCTGTCAGCAAGAGGAAGATGTAATTAAACATCTTTGAACATTACATTGTGGATGAACAGGATCAAAATTTCACTCATGTATTAAAATACAGTATCTTCTAATTGGGGGCTGAAATGGTGGCTGCAGATTTATATGAACATGTACATGGCAGTATTTGGCACTTCTGAATTTAACAGCCTGACTTACTAAAACCTGTACATAAAACCTCTGGAAATATTAAGCATATTAAGAAGAGGCAATTCAGCCTCTGTCTACAAAATACTTTTAGCACATGTTTGTTTTGTCAGTACTTCCCAAAGTTGAAAAGATGAAGTATGCTTATCTGAACAACACTTTTGGTACTATTTGGTCCTTTACACCTTTAGGTACTTCACTTCTTTTTACTCCTCTGTGTAGGGCTGTGGATGCCACATTTACCCTTTTTCCACATGCTCTATGGAATAGCCTTACTTTCAGTAGCAAGTGGAAGAGAACTGCTCTCTCTAAAGCCTCACTAATGATCACCCCCAAGCAGGTGTTCTCAATTCCCTTGTTCCAGGCAGACTTTTGTCTTGAGAAACAGAGTTTTTATTCCCCCCCACCTCCCCCCCCCTTTTTTTTTTAAATACTCCTCCCATTTCCTATACATCTATGAGACACTTACAAAATGTGAATCATCTGGCATTTTCCCCTGCAAAAGAAAAACAAATATTAACTGGATTATCAGACAACAGGAAGGTTCATTTAACCTTTATAAAATATACGTACATTTTCTGTGCTTATCTTTGTTATTCCTAGAGCTGATGGCTGAGTGCCTTGTAAAGGCTGCAGAAAAAAAGATATTTAGAGATCACTCCTAACAGGACAGAACTCTAACATAAAGTTGTTGTAGAAATGTAGACGGATCCATGCAGTTTTAAAGGGTGAAATGTTAATATGGAAATGCAGGATTATGGTCAAAAAAAGATTGCCAAACCCCCACAAACCAAGGACACATCCTGAAGATCAGTTAGTGAAGCCAGGCTGGGATTTCTAGTTTGAGTCCTCATACAAAAATCAGATCACCTGCTGTTAACCCCTCAGCACCCAAGGGTACCACTCAGCTTTCCTTACCAAGGTAGAAATACCAGGAGGGCTGGTCCACCCACTGAGGGGATGCCAGAGGAACCCTGAGATTTCAGGCAGCCCTCTGCATCCCAGTGCCTGCCCAGGGCACAGGCAAATTTTGGCCTAGCCTTGGCAGATGGTATCTTCAGCTTCTTTATTTCAGTAGAACCCTTTCCCTTCAGACTAGTACACTTGAAGCAGAAGTAGAAAGGAAAAAATAACCCTCTCCTTTCCTCTGTTTCCCAAGGATACACGATCAGCACCACCCACTAAAGCAACAACCCTTTGTTTTGTGTTTGGGATAGAAACCGACCTATAGCATCAGCTTGCTCCCAAGCTCTTATTAGAATCAGTCCTCCAGGGCTGGAATTTAGACAGCTTTAAATTACCAACATGCTGATACCAAGATCAAGCGGTGAGGCCCAGTATATAGGGTTTACAACAGCATACAGGGTTTACATCAAGTTTGTATTAATAGAAAGGCAACTTTAACATTCAGGCTAAAATCCTAAAATCCTCATTCAATGCAGTCATTAGTCTACTGACCTGAATTAGATCTGATGTTTGTCAGCAAGAGACCTCAGCTTTGCCCACATTGAAGCGAAACTGGAGCAGAAAAGCCCGAGTCCCGCAGAGGAGCAGGCAGGCTGCTTCTCTGAGTGCAGGTAAGGAAGGATAGAGCGACATGGTGATCACCCATTTTCAGCACCTCCCCAGAATTTACCCCCTCTGCTTCCCATCTACAAGGCTCATTCTTTAGAGCATGAAAGGAAAAGCACAGGAAAGAGCAAGATGTTCAGGTTCTTCCCATTGGTTTCTCTCCTCCAGCAGACCTGGCAGCAGAGCTCAGGGGAAGCTGCAGGAATTACAGATTCCTCCAGCTTGGTCTGAGTGTAAATCAAGCTGTAAGACCTCCCCCTGAGAAAGAAGGCTGCCCATCCCTCAGCTGACAAATATGCACAGTGCTCATTATTATTTCATTCAACAATTCAGTCTTTTTTTTTTCTGGAAAAACAGGGTTCTGCACACAAGTAGTTTCAGTTGTGGCTAAATACAGACACTTGGAAGCTCTGAGATCATTTTCGAGCATCTGAAATGTCTGAAAAATATAGTCCATCTAGCACAGACTCCAATCCATTTTCACACAAACTTGCCTGTTAACTTTGTAAGCTGTAGACTTTGTCATTCTTTTACCCTTAACCTCAAGGCTAAAATTTAAGGAGCCTTCCCACATTAAACTGGGGAAGAAGAATGTCTGGTATTGATTTTTACTGTTAAGCTGCTTTTGTTGCTTCTATTTCACCATAATTCCCATTCTACACTTTCGCAAGTTAAAGAATAACAAAACCAAACAGTAGTCAACTATCTGTATAACTTACATTAGAAATGAAATCTATACTTTTGATCCGCACTTTGCCATATATCCCAAGAGTATCTATTCTTTCCAGACTGATTCTGTGGTTGTATAGCAGCAAGTGCTTCTCATTTACAGTCACCTAAAGAGACAAGAAAAAATGAAACAGAGAAGTGCCATTAAGCACACATTACATCATATATATATACACACCAAGTTATCTGCATGCATCTCTATTGTACTCTGTTCTGTGTCAGTATGAAGGCAAGGGAGTATTTCAAAAGATCCAGAGCTCATCCATCATTCACCCTCTCTCTTTCCACTCTAAGGGAGGGAGCTGTAGGGGAACTAGACTGAAAGTTGCATTTCCCTCCTTTGGTTTCCATCACCTCAATCACTTGCCAACATGGTATGCAAGGCACGGACAGGATCTATGTTGCTGCAGTCTAACAGAACAGGACACGTGCACCTCAAATTGTTTTCTCTAAGGAGAGGACCATCCTGTGCTGTTTTTGCAGAAGCTCAGTGTAAGGCCAGTCCTCCTCACACACACACACACACACACAGGTGAAGGCAACTTTGCCCAGGCAACTTTGAAGGAAACCATGTGAAGGGAGAGGTCTGATTTACTCTGCACCTCTTCTTTAAAGAGGTTTTAACCTTCTCTGTAATTAGGCTGTACCCTTGTAACAGAGAAACCGAGGCTTACCATTATTTTATACGTATACCAAATACCTCTATTAGCCATACAGCTGGCTAAGGGGAAAAAGAAAGACAAGAACAACAACCAAAAATACAGCCCAAGCTCACCTGGAACTTATCCTTCAAAACCATGATGACAATTTCAAATGACTTCCCCTTTTGAAAGGGCATCTGATAAGTGATCTCCTCCCAGCCCCATTTTTCCTTCTCCAGTGTATTGCAAACAATGCAGCCAGACCTCTTGAAGCGGGGATTGAAATGAAAGGCTACATCAGCACGGGGCTTTATGCTGCTGCCACACTGGAAATCCACCTGGAATCTAAACATAAAACAAGAAAAAACACACAGTGACCTGAAACCATACAAAAAACACCTCCGAGTTCAATACAAAAAGCACTTAGTGTTTTACTGTTGAACCTCAGAAGAGGCAGGCACAGGGGAACATTGTTGGATAAGAAAACACAAATCTTTGTTTCATGCCTAAACATTCTCCTGTGATTCACTGCAATGAATTGGAAGAGTTAAGCATTTACTTCATGTTCATCCATCGTATCATCCAAGCTTCTCACTTACTGTGTTCATCACCTTCCCTCCCATCATATTCTTAAGTAGAATAACCAAATTCAGAAATGAACTTTGGGCCAGGACAGGAAACAGAACCCCCATACTACGCCATAAACAGCAGAGTTTGTACATCCTCCTCCTGCTTTTAAGACAATTTCTTCAAGCAACAGATTCAATTATCAATTTTCTTAGCCACAGCATATCTCTTCAGAAATGCAGATATATGCAATGAAGCGGGGGGGAGGAATAGCCAGAGCAGGCAAGTAAAAATAAATAAATGTATATATATAAATATATATAAAGGACAAGAGTGGATGAGCAGAATGCAAGCAGCAGTTTATCTTTCATTTCTCACTGAGATTTTTTCATTAAACACTTTAAACACTTCCACAAAGATTTAGATCATTTAGAACAAGTCCTTATTTGAAATCATGGGTAGGACCCTGGAAACATTTTTATTCATAATATGCTTATTCACATGATTACATTATGAAAAGTAAGATGTTAGTCATTACCTGTCTGCATCATCAGGAACACTCCCATGTATTACAACCAGTTCACCAGGAACAAGGCCTCCAAGAATTGTCCCAACATATGGAATGATCTATAAGAAATGAGAGAAAAAATAGGAAAAACAACAACTACGAAAAGAATAAAACCAACATGTTAGGATCATGGAAAAAAATCCACTGTTTTAAAAAATATTTTTAAAAACTGTATGCTAATACTTCATTATGTAGTAATGTAGTTATGTAGTTCACTAAAGGAAACACAACCAGCATTTCATCCAAAAGAAACATTAGAAGAGCAGTAAGTACCTGCCATAATGGAAAAGAACAGATGTTTTATCTTGTGAGATGTGTACATCTACGCTATATATAAAGACACATAAGGATCAACAGAAAGTCTGAACCTATAGTTCAGTGAAGGTCACACGCAGGCCCCAGCTCAGGGTAACCAAAACAGCCAGTTGGGAGACGCTTCTGTGCAAATAGCAAAGCAGCCAAACTCACACCTGAAGTTTGGACAATCAGGTCTCAGTGGGGGGGTTTGTGCTCGCAGGTGCTGTCTGCTCTGCTAACAGCTCCACCATGAGGGTATCATGAACCCTCCTTGACTCCTTTCTTTCAGCTGGTTCAGGTGATAGTCACAGAGCAGCTGGAAGGCACCTCTGGAGTCCAATAGCTGGCTCAGAGTCAGCTTAAGCAGGTGGCTCAGGGCCTTGTCTTGAGTCCATTTGAGATCACTGGCACTCTCCTCTGCACTCCAGTCCGAACGCTCACTCTTACTCCCTGCCTAAGCTCTTGATACCTCAGGCCTTGTTTTATCTGTCTATATTCTCCAGCCTGGTCTTGCCACCCTCAGGCCCCCTGCAGGCATCACCTTTAGTGAAAATCTTTCACTCTTTCTTACTCAGCGCAATCTATTCTAAGCACCTCCCAATCCACCTGCTTTCCTTCATCACCCCCACCAGCTTCCAATACTGTTTGTCTGCTTTTACTCTCCCTTTTCTTTTGCACTTCAGGCCTTTGAGCTTCTGGTCCATACCCACACAGATTTTGCCTCATCTCCCAACCGGGTTCTTGTCAAGAAGGAGGTTGAAGCTCCTTCCCCATCACCCTCTTCCCAGACTATCTCCTTCACAAGCAGTGAGCAAGCAGGATTCAATAACTTGACCCACTGGGGGCACAGGACTGTATTAGTGCAAAACTGTAATAGATACAGTAGCCCTGTACAGGTACATACTGCCATATGCTCCACACACATTATTTAAACTAACATTTTAGAAATATTTTAATACAGAATGTTAAAAATACTCTTTTCTGCAGGCTTAAAAACGTTTTTTTAAGAAGCAGCAAACACATGTAGTTAGCTCATCCCTTTAGTCTCATGACAATGTCAAGCCACGGCCTCAGAGAACAAGAATCCTAGAGCTTTTCAGAGAAAATCTCCTGACGCTAAACTTGACTAACAAGGTCCTGTCAGCTCTGCTCTCTGTAATGGCTGAACTGTTTTGGCTCAAGCTTCCCACAAAATAAGCTTCCGCAAAACACCATCCATGGATAGAGATTCCAAGTTTAACTGTTCAGATTGAATTATAAGCACCAGGAAACATCCTTAAGAGCTACAAGGCACCACCCATGTTTATTGAGAAATAGGACTGAAAACACTGCTTATCATATTTTCACCCCTGTTCCAATACATTCTGCAAGAACACCAGATATCCACAAAAGCTGTGTATGAAAAAGCATTATCCTCCAAGGCTGAGAGAGCTTCCCTCCTGTTCTGGAGGTACTGTGCATTAAGTCTTCACCTGCTTATAGCACAGTTTCTAAGCACCACCTGTAAGTTTCTTTCTCAAACACACAAGCAATGCAAAGAAGTCCTGGAAAGCTTTCCAGATGTTTGCACAGTGAGGAGCGTTACCTAATTACTGATATAAGACAGCAAAGTCCCCTTTCCTGGAGAGAAGCTATTTATGCAGCATGAGAGTTACCGGGTTATTGACTGTCTTTTGTGTCTCATTTGACGACATCATGTTTCCTCCTCCAGTTTAAAGTCAGCCAGTTCTGTGTGACCACCTGCTAAACTGTGATTAGAAGTTTCACTGGTCTGACAGCACCAAAGCAGGTACCCTTTAAAAAAAAAAATAAATAAAGTTTCTAATTAGAAAGAAGCAAGGTGAAACTACACAGCACAAGGCAAAACCCTTCAAGGCATCAGGCCAAACAACACAAGAAACAATGCAAACACCATTACTTTCTTTCCAAGGAATTTGCTAGAGCTTAGCGAAATGAAATAAAGGCTCGGTTAAATAAGTAACATACTACTCCAGCAAGGGACACTGCACTCATCCACAGGCAGTTTTATCAGCAGCTGAGGGGGTTGTGTGCATCAAAACAAAACCGCCCCCCCCCGCCCCCAAATTGTCTTTGTACAAAACAACACCGATGACTCCTCAGAGCCCCTTTAGCTGGGTCTCAGTAACTCTCCATTTGCACCTGAGTCTGTCAGCAGAGAAAAGATATCCAATCCAAAACATAGGGCTTTTTCCCAAGGTTAACAGCCTATTTCTTTCACCAGTTTGTGTCCTTTTACCAACTTTCTCAAGGCAGACAAGCCCCAGAGGCAGAATTTCTTGATTTTTCCAATTCTACCTTACATAAAGCTAAGAGATTCTAGCCAGAGGAAGCAAAGGCTGCTTTCAATTTTTTCCTTCAACATACACAGTCTTTGACCTCCGCAAATAACTACGGGAGTTCTTAAGACTTGCATTAATTGCACAGCACTAGTAAGAAATGAAACAACATCATGGGGATATCTCTAGCTACACTGCAATTTCTTTAGCAAATCCTCTGCAGGAAGCAATTAAAACTCAGTGTCCAACTCCAAAATTGGTAGGTAATCATTTTTTCCACACTCTGGAGAGACACCTTAAGGTAGCACGCAAATGGTGGGGAGAAAGGGGCAGATGGGCAAGATGACAAAGGAGACCACTGTCAAGCAATAGCAATGCTAAAACGGCTGGCAACATCTCAACATTTAACAAAGCCAAAAAGCAAACAATACCATACAGTCAGGAGTCAGCAAACTACTCCATAAGTACCTGGGATTAACCTTCCAAAGCGATTCAACAGCATGGCCCACAGCAGAATCTGGGACAACAAAGCCAGTAAAGGGGCTGGAGCACAAACCTTAGGAGGACTAGCTGAGGGACCTGGGTTATTTAGTCTGGAGGAGACTCAAGGGAGACTTTACTGCTCTCTACAGCTACCTGAAAGGAGGTTGTAGTGAGGCCAGTATCAGTCTCTTCTCCAGAATAACTACCCATAGGACAAGAGGAAATAGCCTCAAGTTCCACCGGGGAGGGTCAGGTTGGATATGAGGAAAAAATTAAACATGGAAAAAGTAGACAAGCATTGGAACAAGCTGCCCCCCAGAGAAGTGGAGGATTGCCCATCTCTGGCAGTGTTCAAGAAACGTGCAGATGAGGTGCTTAGGGACATGGTTTGCTAGGTGTGGTGGTGATGAGTTTACAGTTGGACTTGATAATCTCAAAGGTCTTTTCCAACCACAAAGATTCTGTGATTCTATGATCTTGTGGCAGGATTAGGATCATGAGAGCATTAATTCACCCATTTAAGCCTGGAGCCTAATGCACAATTCAGAAAACATAAAGTGTTACGCAATCAGCCTAGACTGCATAACTATTTTGAGCCTCTCACGGGATACCACCACCACCAATTCACAACGTGTGACACGCAAGACTCAGCAATTGCATTTTTAGAATTGGGAAACTGAGGCCAAAGGGTGCAAAACTTCTGGCTATAGCACAGAAAAGCCTATTAGCAGATCAAGGAATGCAGCCCAAACTTACAGTTCAGTATCTAGCAACCTACTAACTGAACATCTTCTGGTCTGCAATACCCATCCAGACCCCACTGAAAGGGAATCCTGCAACAGAACCAGTTCTAGTTGCATATGCCCAGAGTTAAGCCCACCACGGAGAACTCTGGCAGATCAGCTGGCACTAGGGCAAAGTGATGGGGGTTGTGGGTTGTTCGCTTTTATTAGAAAAAAAGGCCACAACGAGGGAAAGTTGCAGCCTGAGTGCTGTGTGACTGAAAGGAGACTCATTCACAGGATCTGGCTGTAATATTTTAACAGAAGAATAACTGCAACAGAGCATTTGGCCAATTCCTAAAACCACATTATACAGGGAAGCTTTTCCAAGGAAATTTTTAGAATTAAGAAAAAAAAATGCATAGTTTGCTGTTAATTCACAAATTACAAAATCTCTCTAAGAAGAAACAGGAAGGCCTCCATCAACTATAACATTATCAGCTATGACAAAACTTTAACGCATGTAGCAAACGTCTTTCACTGGGAAAAATATAAATAAATAAATAAGCAGGACTAGATTTTATATCCAGGCAAAGGAGGCCTCTGCTGGAAGAACAAGCAGGACGCTTTTACTTTCCTTTTCCCCAGGAATTCCGGTTAAAAACGCCACACCCTCTCCATCCGTAAAACCAGTGCTATAACACACTATAAACAAGTAAATAAATAAAGCCACAAGCTACAGGGGGCGGTTTGGCCAAGAACTGCGACCTTGAACCCTGAC